TCCAGTGTATTGATAGGAGCCTAAGCATTGATTCTGGCTAATGAGATACAGGCAATCAAGCTCTTGAGCACCTAACTCCTGGCATTACAGTTTTTTCCTCTTTGTATTATATAGGACTGAACTATTCACATTACTCATATCAGAAAGGCTCATAAAATACCGAGTATAAAAGTGAGTCTCTTTTTTGTTTCTTTATGAAGACAGCTTTAAATTTCAAATGCAGAACAGAAATTCAAGTCTCTAAGATACTGATCTATCAACTGTACATTTAACAGTTTTAAGAGTGCTATATACAATACAGTCACCCCTCTCAAGGCTTCCAATAAATGGGTAACAGGACTCAATGCTTGTTAGAGGAAGACATACCACCTCTTAGGCCACCCTCTTACATTATAAGGAAATAAAAAGGTTTTTGTATCCCTCTTTTGTATTTCTGTCTTCATCTTGTCATAAACATGTACTATTAACTAGCAATACTACTAGCTCCTCTGTACTTACCACAATTAATTACAGCATTAGGACACAGGAGCCAGGTACAACATAGCAAGTATAGAGGGGTCATAGAAAAAGGACAAAAAGTTAAAAACTTGGCATGTACACAAAGAAGATGGAAATCTCATAGAGGGAAGAAAAGGAGTATCTTTAAGGTCAATATACAAGACAAAGAGACTGAAAACACCATGGCATATATAGTGCACTGAACTGAGGTGCAATATGAGAAGGCACCACATTCAGAACAGGAGGAAAGGAAAAATGACTGATGATGAACAGAAGGGAGAAAAAAGTCAGGTATGAGAGAGTCACAAAAAATTTCTCATTAATCCTGACAGACTGAGGAAAGATAGTAAAGCTATGGTGGTACAAGGCAAAGTACCAGAACTTAATTTTATAAAATCCTGAACTTCAAGGAATAAGGAGTCTGATTCAGAGGGAAGCAAGGCAGCTTTGGAAATAACTTCAGATACAGAGGCTGGACACACGAGGTCTTGGCAAAAACCAAGAATGCAAAAAGATGGAGGTTAAAAAGGAAGGTAGTGGGTTGGCTAGAAGGATCTAGAAGTTACAGTGGAGCTTAGAACTGAAGTGAGTCCAATACAGCAGAAAACATTCATTTCAGGACCAAAACAGAGTAGAACTGATAGAGTCTACGGAAAAACACTGCCATACAATTGAAAATGAAAACACCACATACATCAAGTAACAAAAACAGAAGGGACAGCGTTGAGTGCCAAAGGTGACAGTCAGATTAAGACAGATGAAACAAGAATTATGCCTAAAATTTAACCACAAACAAGCCACCTGTGACCTTACAGTGGTTCAATGAACTCAAACATCAGAAAAAAGATTGGAGGAGATCAGTGAAAGCGCGGGTGGACAGACAGTCGAGACAATATAAAAATAGACCATTAAATATTTTTAAAAAAACTGAAGACAGGATGTAAGATTGCAGTGAAAGGGCACTATATGCTGTGAAGAACACATTTCAAATTAAATTTCTGAAGTGTTTATTTTAAATGAAGAGAAACTGAAGAAGAAAAGTTTAAATGAAACAGAAGTAGAATTTAGAGTTAGGAACAGTAGCAGGTACAAGTGATGAAGTCAATGGGAAAGGATGGTGATATTAAGCACCAGAAAGTATAAAGGAGACTTCTTAATCTCAAAGAGATTAAAAGATTTCAGCAAAGATTTACAGCTATTTTTAAGCCTGTATATTTGATGCACAACCGAGATAGTTCTTTAACTTGTTTACACAGACATTTTAAGGAAACACTGAATTTTCCGAGGGCATTGCATTAAATTCCTGAAGGAGAAATTTTAATATAAACTTATTCACTTTTACCTGCTTATCCTTACCATCTGGAAACATTTACAATTGCTAAAAACTCCTGCTACTGGGGTGGGGAGTGGAGGGGGAGAGCCACACACAAAAACCCAGGCTTCATACATATCAGGAAGTCAGTGCACCTTGGGAAGGATTTGCTACTAGCACTTAACCTTCACCTTAAAGAGTTTATTTTTTAGGATTGAGTGGCAAGCTGTAACTCTAGAGTGAAAGAATAAGGGAAAAATTGAGACTGAGCCACAGTTTTCCTTTTCAGATACGTTTTTATCTTTAATTACTTGTTAAAGAGTAAGCAAAAAAAAAAGACATGGAAAGCAAAACTTTAACAGTAGATTAATTGCTCCTTTCTCGTGTCAGCCTTTTATGTTATATTTTCAACATTATATAAATTTAAAGCTCTCTGGAACAGGAAGACTAGTTTTATAAAAGTCTAAAGCAACACATCTGTATTACCTAGTAACATTTAGTCATTGGTAAGATGACACTACTCTCCCTGTTCTGCTTTGAGTGAACTTGTTTTATCACACACGTGTTCAAAGCAAACTGATACATTATATAGATGCCGTATGTGAACTACTTGCAGTCAAAAGTTCATTTATCAGTAGAACTGAGAAAGAACCAGGCCCTGGCATCCCTGTTATATAACTGCCAGCCCTATTAAGGCAGTAAGTTCAACTATATTTGCTCATATATAGCTCAATAAATTTTCTTCTCATTGTGCATTTATTTCTAGTTATTATTACAAACTCTGACATACATACATACATCACCCTCACCACACTCTATGACATTAACCCTGAGGTTAAAGAAAAGCTAATACTGGCAAGATATAAGGATTTCATGCCATGGCTTTGGATTCCTGACCCCCTCCCCTCCTCCCCATTTTCTATCAATTAGTTCAAATAAACAGATGGAAATTAGTCCAAAGGCACTTTTTATCCAAGAGAAATAAAGTTAAAGTCAAAATATTAAATTTTAAAGATAAGTTAAAACTATTATTAAAGGTATCACTGTATTTTAACATCCAAACCAAAGCTATCATCCCACCTGAAGGGGCATAAAAAAAAATATTATAGAGGAAAAAACCCCTGAATTTTAGAAATTAATATTCCAGAAGCTAAACTGCTGCTGGCAACACCGGAGAAGTCTTAACAATCAATGTCTTTATTACTGTATTTAATCCAAACTACCTGCATGAAACTTGCAAATTTAATTATTAGGTGCAGCCAGCCAGCTGGATCATAGAGGAAAAAGGAAAACAGCTCATCTGGACTGCAGTTGTGCCTTGGTATTACCCTTACACACATAAACAGTCTTGGCTTTAACACCCTCTTCAACAGTTTTACATTTTGTGCCCAAGTTGTTGGTACAAAGGAACAACAAAGCCCAAGATAATTTTTTAACAACAAATGCTGATTATTACAAGAAATCAGGACTGCTATCAGGTTAGCAAGAGTACTTGAAAGGCTCTCTATTCTTAGAGTAGTACTACCCTTGAAACTGATTTTACACTGATTAAAGAAATCCACTCATGACACAACGTTGTTGTTTGATTCATAAACTGTGGCAGCGTCTATCTCCTTGTTCTGTGGGCAGGACAGTGCCTAGCACTGTGTGTTCCTGTACACTATAAATACTATTAGCACCACTAATTACTCAACATACAATGCCAATGTATTCTTAAAAGGCTTCTACCTCAGCGTGCTTCAGCTAAAACACACTGTTAACATGAGGCAAAGTTCAGTTCTAGGCTACTTCTATGGTCTTACTTCTTTCTGAAGCACCTTTCTAACCTTTATTACTACAAACACTGGTACTATTAGACAACTCCTTAGCTGAAATCCATTACTTGACTCAGCCCAGCACTTTCTATTCCTTAAAGTCATACTTCAAAGAGACTATCGAGGTTGCCATGTGATCCCCATAACCAGTGCATCTCAATATCTCATTATTATTACTGAGTTTACACATGGACTGCCCTCCTTAGATAGCAAACTACTGTCATGCTAATAAAACGATCTGAGGAATCATACACACCAGAGGCTTGATCTTCAGAAGCTTATAATGCAGCTTAAATTTATGGTAACTGCAGGCACTCAGGTTCATAGAAAGACAAGACATTACATAATTTTCACTGGGTGTTTGTCTCATTGTCAGATCTCTCTTAGGTCTCACATTCTCACCTTAACTGCAAGATTAACTTCCTGCCTCCTATCACAGCCTAAACTTTGTCTCCAAGACGTCTGCTAATTGCTGCCAAGAGGTCTGCTAATTGCTCCTTATCCAGACAACGGGAACAGCTCTGGTTTTCATGTGAAGAAATACCATACATTCAGTGGCATATAAACAACACAACTATTAAAATATAATCATACTTCAGGCTGATGAAGGAATCACAGTGCGAAGGGAAGGCTGTGAGATAAGGAAATTCAAGCCTGTCTCACAGATTAAATCTCTCAAAATACCAAACACACAGCACCTTAACATCATGCCCTGCTATGACAAACCAGTAGGTCTAGGAACAGCACTGGCCCACAAACAGAAGGATGTCTTCCAACAATGCCTTCTTCTACCAACATCTTCCTCAAAGAGCCACTCCCAAGCTCAAACCCTCCAAGGAGGCACCACTGCCATCACAACACTCCTGGCTGACAAAGAAGGCCTCATAGCCCCTTCAGCTCTCGCGATCAGACCTGGGAAGCAACGTGGAGGGAGGAGAGAGCCTACTGAAAAGAGGAACTCGAGGCACCCAGCCAGCCCGGAAAGGGAGCTGTTCCTCTACCTAGGAAACATCATCCTCTGCCACAGGGCTGGGGAGAACCTTCCCTACACGGGGCAGCTGAGAAAAACGAAGAAAGACGGAAGCTATCCTTCAAGATAAGTAACTTAGCAGAGGATAAAGGACCCCTTTTCCCCACAGCTTCTCCCGTAACGGCTACCAGAGAATGAAAGCGAGAAGGCCTCCCTCTACCCCCAGCTGCGCGTACACAGCCTACCCCCCAGAGAGAAACAGGAGAAAAGGACGAGGAGTGGCGCAGACCAAACGTGTGGCCTCCCAGGCCCGGCGGGAGGGGAAGAGAGAGGGGAGGGTCAGACAGTGAGAGGGAAGGAAAACCCCATCCCATCGCCCCCACCTTGGGGCCAGACACCGACTTACCCGCCGGCGGCCTCCACGCCCTCCTATTGGCTCGCGCCACCGCGTCACGTGGGAAAAGGAAAGTCTTGGACGCAGACGGCCCGTCGGGGGGGATGCGCATGCGCCGAGGGAGGTGGTGGCGGCGGCGCGCGTGCGCGGGCGGGCGGCCGCCCGGGCGCAGCGGCGGTTCTGGGAGCGCGGGGAGAGGGGCGGGGCCGCGGCGGCGCGCGCACGCGCCGGTGGCGGGTGGAGGAGGAGGAGGTGCGGCCCCCGCCCCCCCCCCCCCCCCCCGGCCCGCCCCGCAGGAAACGGTGCCGCCCGGGCCGCGCTCTGAGCTGGGGCGCGGGAGCGAGCGAGAGGGGAGAGCGAGAGGGGAGCGTCATCTTCCTCCGGTTCTGCCGCCCAGGGACGGTCCGCGGGGCCCCGGCGCTGCGAGGGCACCGGGCGGGAGTCAGGAGCGGGGCAGTCCCCCTCCCTACCTCTCCCCCCACCCCCGTCCTCCGAAGCGGGAGCGCCCTCCGCGGGGCCAACGCTCCCCCCTGCCCGGTGCGCGGCCGCTGCCCGTTTCCAGCGGGAGCCGTGGTCCGTTCGCCGCCCGCCTTCTCCTCAGGCGCCGTCCTCCGCCCCGCCCGCCGCCCGTCCCGAGGAGCGAGCCCGGCACTTGTTGCTGACGCGATGGTCACCGGCCCGGCCGAGTAGCCGAGCCCGTCGCGGGAGGGGAGCGCTGCGGCCGGCATCGAGGGCCCGTCTCCTTCGAGGGGCTCCGGGGGCGGCTCTCGGGGTGTTGTTTCCCCTCGGCGCCCGGCGGTGACGGCTCCCCGGGCGGCGTGAGGACTTCCCTCGGCCCTCGTGGGGATCGCGCCCGGCAGGACCGCCCGGCCCGGATGGTCACGGCGGGCTGAGGGGGCACCGCCAGCCGCCGCCCGCCCCCTCCCTCCGCCTGGTTGCCTGGAGGCTGGTCCCCGTCGGCAGGAGGAAAGATGTCCTTCTTCAACTTTCGTAAAATCTTCAAGCTGGGCGGTGAGAAGAAGAAGAAACAATACGAACACGTCAAGAGGGATCTGAACCCTGAGGAGTTCTGGGAAATTATCGGAGAGCTGGGGGATGGTGCTTTCGGTAAAGTGTTCAAGGTAAGGGCGAGTGGGCGACTCGGACAGGGCAGGTAGTATTGCTCGTAGCTAAAGAAGCGTGACTTGGGGTGTTGCTTCCGAGTTCAGCGGTGTCTAAAGGCTGCCTGGCTTTAAGCTCCGTCACCTGGGGGTACCTGTTGTAGGCATCACGTTTGCGGAGAGCTTGTTCCGGCAGGTGAGCGCCGCGCCCCGCGCTGCGTCCCGGGGCCCCGCCGGGTGCGGGGCGGAGAGCAGAGCCTGCCTTCCACCGCCTCTGTCCGCAGAGGCTCATGAAACTAAAGATAGAAAAGACCTATTAGGTCATTGTCCCGCCTTCTGCTCCACCCTGCCCGTTGCTGAATCTCTCGCTTCTGTATTTTGTTTCTTTTTCGACTCGTGTACAGCATGGCTTCTAACCTTACAAAGACTGTGTTTTCTTAGGTGTGAAGCTCTTTTTTTCTTTCTTTTTTTTTTTTTTTTTTTTTTTTTAAAAGTTTGTACGGAAGGAAGCCCGTGAACAGTAGAATTGACTTGTTTGCCTTATGCGTAGTTTGTAGGGCCAAGCTCCCGTCACTTTTAATGGGAATTCTCCTATCTTGTTCCACGTGGAATTGAATTAAATAGTTGTATTATCTTGGCTTTCTTGACGTGGCAGAATTCCTGGCTTGGATCTTCTAACTTCTCTTACTTGTTTGATCTTTAAATCTTAAGTATACTCATACAAGTAGTGTTTTTAAGGATGCTTATCTAGAATTTATCAAGCAAAGTAGAGTACAATGGCCTAGATATAACGCTGCTAGTGTTTGACAAGACTGTAGCTTTCAGGCAAATTTTGAGCTACTTTTTCTAAAAGGGCATTAATGCTTCCCGTTTGGTTTAGGGACAGTGTGGAAAAAACATGGAGGATAAGTGTGAGAGAATTGGGGAACTGACATGAGTTGAGACTCTGGAGCAGGTTCTTGAGACTAGAAATAACATAGAGAAATAATAACATTTACAGTGTTTCTGAGAGCTAATATGGTCAAGAAATATTTTTATTTTCAGTGCTTCATTTGAAAGTTTTTATGAAATCCGAGTACTTACGAAACCTGCGCTATTTCTGGTAAAAATTACTTTAGTTTTTATTGTACTGTGGTGTTACCTGTCTGTAAATTTGAGTTAAAGTGCCACAGTTAGTTAAGAATGCTAGGTCGTTTTTTTTCACCCTGGGAATTTATGTCAGTGTTCTATTTTAAGAGCATCTAGTTTATTTCGATGTTGGTGTAATATATAGTCTAGATGGTGGTTCTCATGTCAGTGTGGAAGATGAGAGGTTTTTTTATTAAAACGACTGGGTAGTATGTCTGAGGTTGCTGTATCATAAAGCTTGGTGACTATAAAAATATAACGTTGTCTCTAATGGCATTTACAGAGTGTTAAAGTTCTTTAAACTTCATAGTGGAGTTTTGATTCCCTTTTCATGAATACAGTGCTCTGTCCCATAGAGATGAATGGGGAAGCCTCAGAGATGCAATATTAAATGTGTTCTCCTCCCCCACATGCATTTCCCCTCCCATCCTCAAACCTCTTCTTACTTCATGTTTATCTGTAGGCATATTTGTATTAGCAGTGGTCTGTAGAGGAAGGTCTCTGAGTGAGGTAACTAGTAAATGTTGCATTTCAATATACTTTGTGTACAATGGGAGAGTTTTTTCCAGTTGGATGTCATTTTTCACCTTGAGATTTATTTCTGAATGTGAAATGACAGAGTGTAATCTGTTGAAATTGAATTTTTCAATATTAAACTATTTTAAAAATTGTAGTCAGAATTATACATGTAGTTACATTAGTAAACTTGAATGTAGCACCTGTAAAAATTAACAGCTACTACTATTCATGGGAGAAATAACTATTAAAAAAAAAATTCTCCTACTTCATGTATTCAGCAGCATTCATTTTGTTTCCATCTGGTTTGAGCAGTATTATGCACAGGTACTAACTGTACTTGTGTTCCTGCATCTGAGCATGCTTGGCAAGAAACTGTTTCGAAACTAAGGGTGTGTTAGGGTGTCCTTTCTTGGATATACACCTCAAATGGGAAACTGGAAGAATAGCCATTCAATACCTTCTCAAATTTTGGAATCAAAACTATAAGCTAGGACAAAACTGTTGATGCTTGAACACTTTGTCTTTAAGTAATGTAAATGTGTGTTTGAGTTTGTTTTTGGTTTTGTTTTGTTTTTTTTAACAAAAAAAGCCCAACACCAGTCAGTTACAGTCGCCAAAACTACATTTGCTTTTGTTTAAGATCTAGGAGTCAGTGTGTGACAGGGTTTTGGCAGATACATGATCAAATGGAATTGCCAAATAAATAAGGCTTTGTATACTCTGGACTTATAATAAAAACAGGTTGTATTGGTTACATGCTATGGTATCCTGTAGATAAGTATTTGGTTTAGCTGTGTAACTCATCTTCTGGACAAAGTATCAAATACCTAAATAAAAACTCAAAAACAACTCTTAAGTGATTCTGAAAGTGCTATGAAGCCTAGATGATTAAATTATTTACATTAAAAATGTCATGTTTAGTGATAACTAGTTTTGTATACAGAGGTGTTAAAGGTATTGAAAACCTGTGATTCATTCCCCTTGTTCCTCTATCAAGTACAGGAGTCTTGCTTATTTTTTTAATAATTAGTAGAGCTGATTTCCTTTGAAACTGTTCTAGTTTTCTTAAGCTTTCTCAGCTCTGAGCATACATTTGTATTCACTAACTTCTAAGTAATGCTTAGTGTTTAAATATTCCATTTCAAAGTGTTTCAACTGTTGATGCAAGCCTCTGTCACCAGAGGAGCTATGTAACTGCAGACTACTGATGGCAGAGGTTCATGGTTGTACAGGACTTCTCATTCTAGCCCTTTTCAGAGTCTTCAAAGAGGCCACTTGTAGGCTGTTTCCTTTTCTTTTTGCTCTTGGCTAGTGAATAATGGTGTAGTTTTCTGTCCTTTTTCAATTTATAGACCTTTGCAGTACTTCAGTATCAGGTGATGGCCCTTGTAAAGTGAATTTTGAGGTTGCTGATGATAGACTTTTTTCCAATCTCTTAATTGCCTTTCATGGATTATTTAGAATTACTGAATGGACTGCCAGCGTTCTGACAGCTGCTGAAGAAGCATAATATTAGCATTGTAGGCTGATTTCAACTTTGAAATTTGGCAGTTAGATCACAAACAATTTTATTTTTTTTTTTTTAACAAGACTTGTGTGCCTGGAGCGTAGTTTATAGGGCCAAGATCATGTCACTTTTAATGGGCATTCTCCTATCTAGTTCCATGTGGAATAAAATTAAATAGTTGTGTTATCTTGGCTTTCTTTACGTTGCAGAATTCCCCTGTTGGATTTGTGAACTTTTTTTTTAAAAAAAGTAGAGAAAACCCAAAAGTTGCAGTTTGAAACTGCTCTTGATTTGATCAGCTTAATCCCTGGAAAAATTTTAGGCTAATCTTAGTGTTGAAGTTAATTGTAGTCAGTTTGCTTTAGAAATTAGGTACATTATTGTATCATGTTACTTTATTGAGTGTTTTATTGCCCTATTGTATCAAATATCAGTTCAGTGCACATAGTAGACATTACTTTAAGCTAAATCAGTATAAGCAAGTGTTAAAGACTTTCATCGGCTTTAAGCTACTTTTTAAATTCCCAGAAGTTCATGTTCAGATGGTGTGAAAACAGACCTTTAAAATACGTAATATGTTCTGTGATTCTTTCTTGCTAAAGTTCCTGATTGAGAATCTCTGTCATATAGGTGCACATAACTAATTTAAATGCAGGTATCTTCCTAAGTTAACCTTTTGAATGAAATAAAGTACTGGGATTGTATTTCAGTAAAATTTGCCAGCCTTTTTTGGTATTAAGAACATTGTACACTAATATAAGAATACTTATATTGCAGGAAGGCATTTCCTAGTGTTTAGTTGGTGTTATCTCAGAGCCCTTCACTAGAGGATACTCCTCCAAGAAATTCATGGTCTTTTGGCCATCTT